TGTAAAACAATAGCTCACTCCTTGAGTTATATATGTTTGTCTTTCTTTTCCTTTTTTCACTAACAAAATCTTTGAAAATAAAAATAAAAAACACATTTAAAAATAAAAAATGAAATTTATATTAAGTTTTAAAGAAATACAAGACTGGAAGGCAAAAATAATTAGACAAAATGATCCTTTTTGTCCACGTTTGTTAATATTGGGCATAGATCAGGACGTCTGAGGCCATGTTTCTGTACAACAGATTGCCGACAAAGTGCTGATCCGTGTTTAAAACACTGCTTCAGTGTGTTGTTACCTTGTGTGGGAGTGCATGAGGGGGGATTCACTGCTGCTTTCAGTCCATTAAGTGACCTTGATGTTTATCAGCAGCTGACGTTGAAAATTAATGTGGRGCAGGTACACAAACATACATGCACTCCCACCATCAGAACAGCACTCTGGACCACCGCTCGGACACAAAACCCATATTTATGTCTGTGAGCGGGTCACAGGGAACATGACAAATCAGTGGCGAAGCGTTAGATTGCTTCTCTTGTCAGATAAATCAGGAGGTGGGCATTGGTCGCGGAGCTATTTTACAGCTTCTTACTGGTGTATTTCATGTTGGCTTCCTTGTTGTTTTCCTAAAAGCAAGACGTTAATTTAATCCATCAGTGGCTCCCATCTGACCTTGCATTTGAGCAAACTTACCATTATGAACAGAAGCATGAGAGAAAAGCTAGATGTGAAAAGCAGCTAAGGTGAATACATGACAAAAAAAGAAAATGGGACTTGATTTTTTTTAGATCTGAAGCACAAATGAGAGATTCATCCCCAAAAACGCAGCCTGCAAACTGCTTTTAGAGAGAAAAATGATGATTTCAAAGCTGCTACCTCTCCCTGAGAATGATTACAGCTTTTACGGCGCCACATTTTGTCAGTAAAGAGCACAAGAAAGATGAGTTCTTATTTTCACTTTTTTTTATCTATCTGTGTGTTCTTGTATGAAAAGCTGCCACAATTTTTAAAAAGGCAAATGTCTCTTTCTGAAAGAAAACCTTTTTTCAGTTCTCGTATAAAAAAATATATGTATAAAAAAAGCTTGGCATGCTGTTGACATTTGGATTATATGAAAATGAATGCCCATCACATTTTAGATATAAAGACATGGATAAGGCCAGTGGGGAAAAAAAGAACCAACATTTTATGTTTGACAGCTCAAATGTGTTCAGGTGGTGGTTTGGTGAACATAGAAAGATTTTCCTTTCAAAGCAGGTATACCACGTTCTTTCTCTATAATGCATAGTGCCTCTGTAGACAAACCTTTAAAAGGTCGTTTTTGTTTGGCTCTGGTCACCTGCTTAGACATTCTTCCATAGCTGGAAACTCACTGAATTGATTCATTTTTGTAATTTCCTACCACTCCACCACAGTACATTTCTTTTGCCTCAGCCACTACACTGATTGTTGCCAAGGCAGCTTGACAGACTGCTGCTTACTGAATCAGAACACTGAAAGGTAACCTGATACACCTTTTTCATTGGTGTCGCTGCCATGTACTGCAGAGCTGAAATAATTGCCTCGTGGGTTCCGTCCATTAATACGTTGTCTGCTTGCGTGTCTCTGCAGTGAAAGAAATGAGAACAGCTGTGAAAGAAAAGATCCCTTCTATTTGGGAATCAATGTCTTCATTTGTATTATGGCTGCAAAGCATCTCTCATCGCAGCACGCCCGTTATTTGTGCACTTCTGAGTACTGTGGCTGAAACGACACTGCCCTACAAAGATAAATGGCAGTCATAACATTTTACCCAGCTTTATACTAAAGGCACAGTTGCCTAAATTAGATTCATTATGAACTGAAAAAGAGCTCATAAATGAATTAACTGTCATTACCGATTTCAACTGCCAATTTTCTGAAAAAATGACTCGAGTCTCAAGACAGAAAGACATAAAACTCATTTTCTCCACATTTTCTATCACCTTCTACCCTTTGGCTTTATGAGTGAAGGTACACACTGCTGGGCTGAAATTAAATTCAAAATTTACAAATGGCTCACCAAAGGGGGTCTATAAAAAYTGGAAAGAACAGCTTTTACATTTGCCAGCTCCAGGTGTTTCAACGCGCTGTAAATATGAAAGAAGTTGCACTCGATGGGACAGTTACACAATGTCACCATTTATGACTTTCATGAATCATTGGTGGAGTTTTGTCTTCTGGACAGTTGTTGCAAAGATTGTATTCAAAACCCGAGGGGAAAACCATTCAAGGTGATAGAAATGTATCTCGCCTACTGTTCACACAAACAACATTAGATGTCCAGGAAACAAGTTGATTACATTCCATGCTACTAATTAGAGGAAATGACAAATTATGATGACATCATGATTTAACAAAAAATAAAATAAAATAAAATACTTAGAATCAAAATGTTTCCAATAGATTCATTCAAAGCCCCACATTATTC